TTTTGCCCTGCATAATAAGTTGTAATAATGCGTATTTTTGCCCTCTCATCACATGTCCCAAGTACTCAAGTTTTCGTCTTTTAATAGTTAATATTATTTCCGCCTCATTTCCTATCCTTCTAGTTACTTCCATGTTTGACATTCTTTGAATCCATGATATTCGTAGGATTCTTCTGTAACACCAAAATTCAAAGGCGACCAACTTATTCAGATGAACTTGTTTTAGTGTCCAAGCTTCCAAACCATAAAGAAGAGTAGAGAACACGTAACATCGAAGCATTCTTAGGCATAGTTCTAACCTTATATCCCGACAACAAAGAAACTTTTTAAGTTTAATAAATGATGTACGAGGAAAAACTATGTAGGATCAAAAACAAAAAACGAGGACATACCAACAAAAATTGCCAAACTTAAATGGTGCTTCGCGGGCCACGCTGCTAGACAAAAAGACCAACGTTGGAATACTACAATATAATATTGGAGACCTTAAGAAAGTAAACGACCAAGAGGAAGACCACAGATGAGATGGGTTGATGACATTAAAAGAATAGCCGGAACAAATTGGAAATATGTTGCTCAGGATAGAGGCCGATGGAAGGAGTTGAGAGAGGCCTATGTCCAAACATGGACGATAGAAGGCTAAGAAGAAGAGCTATTAATTCTAAGGAATTAATAAATTTTTATAAACATCTTTTCATCATTCAATGTTCCGTATTTGTTGATTCTTGTTCAATCACAAATGATTTCCTTAATTTGTAACCTCTAGATATTCTTAACTTCTTATAATTGAAACATTGTGAAAACATATTGAGTCCGTTCACCTGCATATCTGCAACTTAATAAATTGCAAATAATATTTTTCTAATTGAACTTCCTAAGTGTTGCAATAACGGCCTAGATTAAATTGTATTGTAAGCTCATAGTTCAAAGTTTGTTAGTATGATAGACGCATTAACCTCTGTGCTGAAGTATACATTACTTGTGAAATTATAAATTGGGGATTTGAGCTCATTTGAGCGTAGTCTATTATAGAAAGTTACCTAACCAACATCTCTAGTGTATTTATTAGTAGCGGTCAATAAAATTATAATTTTTACTCCACCTTTTACTCAACATTTTATTATATTTATCATCGTCGATCGAGAAGAAGCGGACAAAGGGGCATTACAAAATAATTAGATCCTGATATTTACATCAAATCTGTCGAATTCCACATGGACTTAAAATATATATTCTAGGAGTATGCCATATTAATAACTAATTTTCAGTCACTTCAGTTTTAGATACATTTACTAAATTTTTAAACTGTTTTTTAATATAACTTGCAAAATTTTAGACGAAAAACACTGAAGTACAAAATATGTAAATTTTCTATGAAATATTCTACTTTATTTTTTTACCTCGTTTCGTTTAACGTTGAATTTTCCGATGCATATATTAACTCACCTACGTGCTCATTCTTTCCATAAAATTTAACTTAAACGCGTTCGAAAGTAGGTCCAATACGTATCGTATTGAAATTGCGTTGGAAAAGCTCTCACCAAAATTGCAACTCAACCGACGCAACGTCGAGAAAACGCCTTTTCGACGGCTTGAGAGCCCCACATGATAGGATTCCGGAATGGCAGTCCGGGGAGTCGCACCACTCCGCGCTATTATCTGGAAATTGTCTTAGATTGTCTTTTCCTTTTTGCGTAGTTCCTATGTCTGCTATACCGAAGTATATAAACCCTTCTCAGGGCAATGTTGTTTCTTCTAGGTTCGAATTTGTCTCCATTTACTAAATGCCGGATGGCAACAAATGCTTCGTAATACTTTCTTACTTATTTTGGCACGTCGTAACTCTGAGCTTGTTGTTCATAAAATTAATTACATAAATCTTTTTAGGAATACTTTTCCAGATTAAATATAATAAATATTGTTTTTTTATTAAAAAATTTATCGCATTTACCATGAGGTGATTAGCGGGAATACAGTGTAGGTATACAATTCCAATACTTTAAACATTTTTTTTTATTTATTTACTCCTCAACTTCATAGGGTCATTGGCGTTGGACAATTTAAAATTTTACAATTTATTTAGTACATTTATAAAATATAAGTATGATGTAAAATTTTTCATATCAGTTCCGTCACTTACTATTGCTTGTAAGGTATCTTGTAATTTATATTGAAGTCCATGCAATATAAATGACACTTTCTTAAAATATGACGAACACTGAGCACAATATCACATACGTACCACTATTGTTTTAATTCACTCTCCAGCAGATGTGTAAGGGTAATGGCTGTGTGGCCTATTCTCAGACGAGATAGGATGATTTGATGTATACGCTTATTTGGGGTTGATTATCAAGGTAATATAGAATGTTTTACTTCTCGTAGTTTGGATGTTGACTGATTCCACTTGGTCTGCCAATCATTGATTGTTAAGTTCTTGATTATAGATTTTATATCTAGATGTGGAATGATTCTGATTTCTATAACCTCCGAAATCGAGATTGCTAGTTTTGCCAAAGAATCTACTTCTTCGTTACCAGCAAGTCCGATATGGGAAGCATTCCGAATTGACCAGCTATTTACCTACGAGGGAATGTAATTATGAAAAAGTGATAAAAGTGTTACAGCGGCCCTGCTTCTAGAGAAAAAGCACAATTCCAAGAAGAAACTGATATGCAAGTACTTTAAACGAAAAAGTCACACTTTTATCCGAGTATACGAGTCCAAAGGTATGGTTTGATTTACGTTTCTAAAATATAATCGACTTGTTTTTAATTTTTTGTTTTATTTATATATATATATATATATAAATATATATATATATATATATATTATATATATATATATATATATATATATATATTATATATATATATATTATATTTTTAACCTATTCTCTATTCTTCTATTGTTGGATATAGGTCTCCCCCAGTTCTCTCCATCTTTCCCTATCTTGAGCTGTTCTCTGCCATGTGGGACCTCCTTGTTTCCTGATGTTATCTTTCCACCTCATCTGTGGTCTGCCTCTTGATCTCTTTGCATCGTATGGACGCCACTTTCCGATGGCATTGTTCCATCGTCCGTCTTGGAGACGTTCATTGTGTCCAGCCCATTTCCATTTCAGTTTTGCTGCTTGTTCTATCGCGTCTACTGTCTTTGTTCTGGTTCTGATCCACTGGTTACGTTTTCTATTTCTAAGTGATACACCCAACATTTGTCTCTCCATCGCTCTTTGTGCCTTCCTTATCCTATCCAAATTGGCCTGTGTAAATGTCCATGTCTGTGCTCCGTAGGTGAGCACCGGTATGATACAGGAGTTATATACCTTGCTTCGTAAGTATAGAGGGATTGTTTGATTTTTTAGAACGTAAGAAAGTTTGCCGAACGCTGCCCATCCCATTCTTACTCGTTTCGATATTTCGGCTGTTTGATTTTCTCTATTAGCTCTGATTGCTTGTCCTAGATAGATATACTCATTTACCTGTTCTATTTTTTCTGTTTTTATTTTTTTTGCTTCTTGGTCTTCCGTGTTTGTCATTACTTTTGTTTTGTTGAAGTTAATTTTTTGGGCTTTTTGCAGTGATTTTTCATGAAGTTCATTCAGCATTTATTCCAGTTCTTGTCGTTCCGAGGAGATCAGGAGTATATCATCCGCATATCTAAGGTGATTTAGGTATTTTCCGTTTATACATATTCCTCTGTTTTCCCAATCTGTTGTTGTTGTATCAATTGTCGGTATCTTGAATCTATTCTACTATTGACCAGAGCTTCTTCAACCGCCCAGTGTTTAATGCTGTCGAAAGCCTTTTCATAATCTACGAATGCTAAGTACAGCGGAAGGTTGTATTCATTGGTTTTCTCAATTAAGATTTTAAGCGTATGTAGATGGTCGATTGTGCTGTATCCTTTTCTGAATCTCGCCTGTTCCACTGGTTGGTAGTTATCAAGTTTATAGGTTAGTCGGTTGTTTATTATTCTTGTGAAGGTTTTATAAAATTGTGACAAAAGGGAAATAGGGCGGTAGTTGTTTAGGTCTGTTCGGTCTCCTTTCTTATGTATTAAGATTGTGTTGGCATTTCTCCATTGTTTGGGTATTTTACCTTCAAACAGACATTTGTTGAACAGTATTTTTAGCATTTTTTTTATCGTGTCTCCTCCTTCTTTTAGCAGTTCCGCCAGTATTTTGTCCTCACCGGCCGCTTTATTTCTTTTCATGTCGTTTATGGATTTTTCGATTTCATCTTCAGTTATTTCTGGTAATACCTCTGAGCCAACATTTTCTATTTTCCTCGTGAGATTCTGTTTAGATGATAGTGGCGGGTAATTTTTAAAACTGTATAGGTCTGTGTAATATCTTTCTGTGATTTTTACTATTTCTCCTAGATCTCTTTCTTCATTGTTCTCAGCTTTAAGCATGATTAGTTTTCTTTTTCCTATATTTGTCTTCATTGTTTTTAAACTTATGTTCTTCTCTATGATTTTCTTAATGCGGTCTTCTTGGTATTTCTTTAAATCTTCCTTTATCTGTTTTCTTATGGTTTTATTCAGTTCGGTATACTCCACTGTATTTCTTTTGTTATCATTCAGTAGTTGTCGTCGTTTTTTTTAGCATATCTTGTGATTTAGCGCTAATTTTTTGTTGTTTTCGCTTTTGTTTATTAGCAATCTTCAGGCCTGCTTCTAGTAGTTCTGTTGGTATTTTATCGTTTAATTCGTCTAGTTGCAGACCCTTATATATATATATATATATATATATATATATATATAATATATATATATATATATATATATGTATATATATATATATATATATATATTTATTGATTGTTACAGTAAATGATAAAAATTTAATTTAGAACTAAAAATGAATTTAAGCTTAAATTTAATAAATATATTATTTAATCAAAATCCATCAAAAAATTTAAATGCAAATGCTTACAGTATACGTATCAAGTTTAGTTTAATATTTCTCACGTAGAAGAGACTACACAAGAACTTACCTCCTCTAACCTCGCATGTCAAGATCAGATCTGTTTTTTCCTCTAAAGGACCCACGGTATGATTTACGTCTCTACCGGAATTGTCGTATATAAGAAGTTGATGTGGGGGAACTGGAACAAAAATATTTATTATGATTAGAAAGATAAACGATTGTTTTACATTTATGGTGTTAATAAAATTAGTTTAAATCGAAAACATACTAAACATATTAACATAAATCAGTAAATTTTTTTTTTGAAAAATACGGAAAAGTACTTAAAGTAATGAAATAATTTATTGGATAATTGTAATAAAAACAATTAAATATATATATATATATATATATATATAAGGTTCTTGAACTCCTAAGTGGAGCATAGAGCTTCAGTGAAAACGCGCCATCGGGTTCTATTTTGCGCTAAGGCCTTCACCTCATTCCAAGACTTTCCTTGTTTTCTTATCTCGTCCATGATGGATCTTCTCCAAGTTTGTACTGGGCGACCTTTTTTTCGTTTTCCTTGGGGATTCCACTCTAGAGCAGTCTTTACAATACTGGAGTTATTTTTTCGGAGTGTGTGACCGATCCAACCCCACTTTCTGGACTTTATTTCATTTACTACCCTCTTTTGTTTGGTCAGGTGTAATAAATCTTCGTTTCTGATGATGTTAGGCCAGAAAATACGAACAATTCTTCGTAGACATTTATTAACAAAGGACCTGCAGTTTGTCTGTAAGGGTTTTTGTCGCTTTCCAGGTTTCACATCCGTAAAGTAGTACAGACATGACATTTGACTGGAATATGCGGATCTTTGTCCTCGTAGTGTAGTCTCCAGACCTCCAAACAGGGTTGAGCATGCTGAAAGTTTGTTGCGCTTTTCGTATCCTTATACGAATATCGTCTTCTGTACCTCCGCTTTCTGTTATGAAACTTCCAAGATACGTAAAGTTTTCTACATTTTTAATCTGCATGTTATTAATGGTGAATAGCGTGTTGTTTTTTGCATTTATTCTCATGGATTTGGTTTTACCAATATTGATTTTCAAACCTATTTTATTGGCTTCAGTGGAGAGTGTTTCCAATTGGTCAGCCATATCTTGGAACCTTTGTCCTAACAGGCAGATATCGTCGGCGTATTCTAGATCGCTTAGGCGTGAGGTTAGCGTCCATTGTATCCCTCTTATGTCAGAGTCTAGTTTGGAGAGAACATAGTCTAGAGCTATGTTAAAAAGAAACGGAGAAAGCATGCATCCCTGTCTGACTCCAGTAAGTACGTAAAATTCGTCACTGTTGATCCCATTGTGTGTCACGCTGCATTTCGCTTCAGTGTACAGTAACTTTATAATGGAAATTATTTTATGCGGGATGTTTCTTAGCTCTAAAATTTTCCATATCGCATCATGAGATAAGCTGTCAAAAGCACGCTCGAAATCAACAAAAACCATGTATAGGGGTGTGTTCCATTCAACCGATTGTTCCATTATTAGCCTCACAGTATTAATGTGGTCTATGCAAGAGGATTCTGGTCTAAAGCCTACTTGATTAGCTTGAAATTCAACCTTGTTTATTAATCTTTTAAGTATGATGGTCGTGAAGATTTTATTTATGGCGGTAAGCAAGGTTATTCCTCTCCAATTTTTGCATAGTATGAGGTTGCACTTTTTTGGAAGCTTAATAATGATGCCTTTTTTCCAGCATGCTGGAATGCGGTTTGTTTCCCACACCTCTCGGATTATGGGGAGCAAAAGTTCAGCAGTTAGATGCGGATCAGTTTTAAGTATTTCGGCAGCAATGTTATCAATTCCGGAGACTTGTTATTTTTCAGAGATTTGATAGCTGTTATTATCTCTGTTTTGGAAGGGGCGTCGCAAGATATACGCAAGTCTATATTTTGTGGATTTTCGACAATTTCATCTGCGTTATCCCTGGGCGTGCCTAGCATCTCCTGAAAGTGCTCTTTCCATCTCTCTATTTGGTCATTTGTTGTAGTAAGTAATTCTCCTATCTTGGATCTTACGACGTTTGAACAGTTGGGCCCACTTTTTGTTAGACGTCTAGTAATTAGGTATAGCTCTCTAGTTTTATTGTGTTGTGCAGCTATTTCGGCTTGTTTTGCCAGTTCTTCAGCCCATCTTCTTTTGTCTCTTCTTGCATTTCTTTTAACTGCTTTATTTATTGTTTCATATTCTTGTTGTCGGTTCGCTCTTTCTTCTACAGTTCTTGCTTGCAAATATCTTTTTTTTTGCTGTTTTCTTTCTTCGATAAGATTCCAAGTTTCATCTGATATCCATTCTTTTCTATGTTTCTCTTTTTTACCCAGTTTATCTTCAGCTATTTCTGTCAAAACATTTGCCAGATTTTCCCAGCTATTTACTTCACGTTCTCTTCTTTTGAGTTGAAGTTCCTCCCTAAACATGTGTCTTCCTGTAGCCGTTTTTAATTTGTCTAGATTGTATGTCGGTCGTTTGGTGTTTCGTGTGATTTTGTTTTTTGCCATTTTGATTTTAATGGTACCGATTACAAGATGATGGTCACTTGCGATGTCTGCTCCTCTTTTGTTACGTACATCAAGAAGAGATGATCTCCATCTTTTTGATATGGCGATGTGGTCTATTTGATTTTCTCTTATATGACCTGGTGCAGTCCATGTAACCTTGTGAATATTTTTATGTGGGAAGATGGTTCCACCAATAACTAAGCTATGATTGGAGAAAAACAATTAAATAATAGAGCAGAAACCGAAGGATACGACAGAATTCTTCAATGTAGTATCAGAAGAATCTGTGTACCAAAGAAAAAGTTCAAGGAAAAAAAAAGAAATAAAAATACTGAAAAAAGAAAAAAATTTAAAATTCTAGTACCTACTTTAATTTAAAGAAAAAAATAGACATATAGATATTTGAATAAGAGTTCTATTCAGTACAAATTCAACAGGGTTTTCCCAAACTACGAGAGAAATCTATTTACTTATAGTCTATTCTTGTCTATAATAAGTATATTCTTATAAGTGTGCGTTTCCAAAAAAGGAAAAATAAAAATGGGGGAAAAAGGAAACATTTTAACTCTAGTACTTTTATCTGAATAAAAAAGATGTGAGATTTAGAATACCTATTTAGTGCAATTTCAACAGGGTTTTCCCAAACTACTTTTCAAGTTTGCAAGTTTTAGTAAAACTTTGCAAGTTTTAGAAAGCACAGTGGTTAAGATTTCAATTCGATTGCGCCAGGTAGAAATCGTATGATTTCTTTTTTTGTTCTTAGATGCCGTAGTTACGACTATATACAGATTGAACGAAATAAATTCGGAACATAGGAATATAATGTATTTCGGCTCAATTCTGCTGTAGCTGGTTGGCCAACAAAAGATTGTCAAATAATTATATTATAAAAAATCCCATACTTCAGCGAGCTGCTGGATTCTGAACTCATAAAAATTGAAAGCTACACATAAATCTACGATTTTATTATGCTGTCAAACCAGTTATAGTCCAGGAAATGTAGCATTTCACCTCGCAATTTTTTCGTGCGGCGTGGATTGACTTGAAATTTAACAGAAGGTAGGTAATAGCCTACGGATCAAAATCTATATCGAACCAAAGTGCGCCAAAGCCTAGGGGGTGGTTGCCACCCCATCTCCGGGGTGAATTTTTTTTTACGTTTTAACTACAGGTTTCGATTAGAAAAGTGATTCTAAACAAAAAATGTGCTATACATTTTTTTATAAAATGATATTTTTCAAGTTATTCACGATTGAAAGTAACAACTTTTAGACGAAAAAATCCATGTTTTTAATCGATTTTTCGCGAATAACTCGAAAATGGTGCATTTTATCAAAAAAATTGTAGAGAACAAATTTGTAGCTTTTAAAAAGACAAATACAATTACAAATACAATATCAATGTTCAGCGGTTTTCTTCAAATGCCAAATTTGAAAGATTCAAAGTCAAATATCGGGAAAATGATGCATTTTTGGAAGAAAACTCACAAAACGTTTTTTAAAGAGCATAAATAGACCTATCATAAAAAAATAAGGTCAATACCTCATTTTTTACGAAAAAATCGAGGAAAACAACAACCTAACCACCCCCATAATTAAAATCGATCTTCACCCTTCTGAAATTCCCTTTGTAGATGTATTGTTAATACGTCCAAGAAGTTTTAACCATTTAAAATGCTTAGTTTTAGAAAAAGTACAGCTTAAAGCGAGAAACGATTTACAATTTCATATTTTTTACCCTTCTTTTTTTAAATATGCCCGAAAATACTAAATATATGAAAAAAATAAAAATTTCCAAATAGTAGCTTTTTTAATGACTAAAATTATCCTTTATTTAGATTTTTTGTACAATGAATATTTGGCGAGATATAGCCGTTTAAAGCATCGATTTACGATCAAGCACCATCTTTTTCGAGCCCTTTAAATTCACCCCATTTAAAAACCAAGGGTTCCAAAAAGATTTAATTCACAGATCCTTGTAGCTATTAAAAACCTCTACAAATCGTTTTTGAAGAAACATCTATCGTTAAAAATTAAAGGAAATACGTTAAAAAAACCAGTTAATTTTTTTCCGGAAAATTTCATTAGTATAGTACAGTACATTTCGGAGCATAATAATCTACAAAACCGGTATATTAGCTAGTGGGGCGTTATACATTCGAAATTTTAAGCGTTCTTATTTTGAAATCCCATACAACAGAATAAAACATCTGCTCATATGTCTATGGCTTGGCAATGAAAATATCAGAGCAACAGATTGGGGATGGTTTTCCAAAGATGGTTTGTTATTACCCGTACGCATGAATAAACAACCTGCACCCGATAAATTTTTGAAAATTATTTTTTGCCAATGCAAAAAAGGATGCGGCGTTTCATATGGGTGCAGAAAAGTTGGTTTTATACTGTAACTCTACTTGTTCTGGGTGCTCAGGTGAAGGGTGCAATAACAGTCCACCAATAATTGAGGAAGATGATGATGACATGGATCACATGAAGATGTAATTGATGACGAATAAAATTAATATTATAATTGTTTTACCTATAAATGTAAATATTTTCAACTATTTATGTAAATGTATAAGAATATATGGTGCCTTTTTATGTTGATAATTTTTTTTTGTATTTAATTCTACTTTT